CTCTCTCTCTCTCTCTCTCTCTCTCTCTCTCTCTCTCTCTCTCTCTCTCTCTCTCTCTCTCTTTCTCCCGTATGAACCCGGGTGTCATTTGCCGTCACCGCCATCTTCATCCGCTGGAGGACCACTGCCGATCCAGTCGGCGTTTTGCGGCTTCAGCTGCATTTTTCAGGCCGGTGTTATGATCGCACACCAACCCTGAATCAACCCTTTCCGGGATGCAATGCGGGTACTCTCCCAGCGTGAGGTGGGGCTTCCCGAGGTGATCCAACACGACGTTGGTGCTGTCGACGATGTGTCGCCTCTTGTTGAAGATATACGACCCCGCCGCTATGAGAGTGGGTTCCGCGGTCAGTGATGCATACAATCCCACCTCATAGTGTGAACGATCATTATCGCCACCCTTGCGCATGATCCACATGCACGTGCTCAACAAAACCCTCAGACAATCCGCAAGCCGCGTTAACCTCTCTTGTTTCAATCTGCCGCCGTCCGTCCATGGACCGCACCAAAGCGCATCTGTCCAGTCTCCACCACATGAAGAACTGTTGCCTCCTGTTGCGCCGCCAAGTCATCATCTTCAGGTCTGTCCACAATTTTCACCCCAACGAACCACATAGGCATGTCCATCTTCAAATGCAGCGTGTAGTAAATGAGGGATGGGGAAACCACTCTCGACCATTCCAGCCCCTGCCAAACAGCTCGTGCGACGTCGGTAGCGTAGTTGACGGTGATGTACGACTCCGCACGAGTGAAGCCATTCGACCTCGACGACGATTTGAAGATCCTCCTGTGGATGGTGCGCATTACCAGTTTCTCCACGATGCACGCTCTGCGCAAAGTCGGTTCACGCTGCGCCGGATCGTCGATCTTGAAGAGTGGCACATCGTTCGTTGGCATGATGAACATGGACGGTGGTTCGGCGCTGCGTCTCCGTTGGCGATGGCAACGAAGTAGTCCGTGCAGTCGCCAATCTCCTCCCTCAACGGTGTTCGGGGCGTTGACCCCAAAAAGCGTCGCAATCAACCTACAACTTCGACCTCTCCTCCAGATCAACCTCTTGTACTATTCTCTTCCGCCTGCTGACAGGGGGTCGGTCGTCGTCATTGTCGCCTTCCCGTTGTCCATCTCTTTTACCATCTTCAGGGCGCACGTGATCGACCCTTCCCTCTACCACACCTTCCGCGACTCCGCTTGCAGAAGTGTGGTGATCTCCCTCCTGCGTCCACTTTCTTTTGTGGGGGTGATGTTATCGCCGTGCTTGAACCCCGCGCCTGTTGCGAGGGGTGTGCCTGACGTGGCTGGACTGCCCCGATCACTGCCTTGTCAAGTCTACCTCCCCCACCGACCAGGATGATCGGTGCGCGAACGCCACTGGTCGTCGCCTCACCCACCCCCGCAGCTTGCCTCTGCAGCCGCGCCTCGGTGATGACAATCCCTTGTGCCTTGTGTGTCCTAAGCGACGCTCCAAAGACACCACCAACAATGGCTTGTTTGATAGCAACCAGGTTATCCCTCGACACTTCGTCCTGCCCAAAACCCCATCGCTGGCTCCACCCCGTCCCTTGCGCGTCCACCTTCACAACTTCCTCTAATTGGAAGTTGTCATCATTCTCCAAACTAGCCTCATCAAAGCGCAACCTTTTCGACTTGGGTACATGGCCTCAACCTTTCTGGCGTTCCCCCCCCTCACCAAGACCGCTATCTCTTCTGCCCTTTCCTGTCGCGCCCCACAGTGCCATTTGGACACAACTTCAGTCCCCTTGCGACGTGGTCCATGAAGGTGTGTTGAGGTGCGACGCGGACAAGCACGAAGGGCACGTGAACGTCGACGTTCGACGGCCGACGGAAAGGAAGGACGTGGACAACGCGTACTACGGGGTAGTAGGCACTAGCCACAGAGGAGGTTCAAGGATGGCGAGCACAAAGGTCCACCAGGAAGTGAGAGCAGACGTTGTGGAGGCTCAAAGCGTCGAATGGGATGCAGAGTCGTACGGCGAGAGGGCCGTTCACACGAGGCACCTCTGGAGTTGTGCAATGGAAGGACCATGGTACGGAATGGCGCCCAGATTGTTCTTTTGTACCATGTGCAGCCTCTTACCACACCATGGATGCACTTCGCCGTACCTAAGGCCCGCCCGCTCGTCGACCGTGTGCAGACCATTTTCCCCCACTCAATGAAGGCCATCCTCTCATTGGTCTGACATTGAATGTCGGCACGCAGGAGGACCCTGGCGGTACTCATAAGAGCCTGCCTCCCACCCCTGCAC